AGCATGGCTGGCTGGGGAATTCTGGGAGTTGAAGTCCACATATCTTAAAGTTGCTAAGGTTGAGAAACACTGGATAGGCCATTAGTCATTTGTATTTTTACATTCTTTAAAACTACATGGAAGTTGGCAAAAACAGTGGCGCGAGGCATTTTGGTGAGCATTCAAGAACCAATTCCTTGTCACAGACACTGACCATTTGCATATCAAGCATAAGGAAATGTTGGTTTCAGCAATTTCATAAAACACAATGATATCGACCATAAGTAGAACGAACAATTTGGCTCTTTCTGAAGTGAGCCAACTTGATCCTTGCAGCATGGGCTGATACACAAATCAGAATATAACGAAGCTTTGTCGCTGTTGTCTTCTAGTTCAAAACCGAGTGTTGGGACAACCTGCAAGTTTATTGCCATTGCGATAACATGGCAAATGTAATTTTGTTGCCATTTTTAAAAACGCAATGCTGAAAGTGCCCATTATATATTTATAAACACGCAGAAAACTGACAGCGACCAGGAAGTGTCTTGTGAACCATGCTAACCCTAATGGTCAGATTAAATATATTGTACAGTGGTACCTCGGGTTACGAATTTAATCCGTTCCGTGACTCTGGTCGCAATCCGATTTGTTCACAACCCGAAGCAAATTTTCCCATAAGGTTCAATGTAATTACCGTTAATCTGTTCCAGCGTCCGCGGACCACGCGTCAAGGGCGGAAAAATGGCCGCAGACCACGCGGCAGGGCGGAAAAATGGCCGCGGACCATGTGGCATGGGCGGAAAAATGGCTACGGAACACGTGGCACGGGCGGAAAAATGGCCGTGGACCATGTGGCACGGGCGGAAAAATGGCTGTGGAACACGTGGCACGGGCGGAAAATGGCCGCAGACCACGTGTCACGGCGGAAAATGGCCGCGGATCCGGTTCGTACCCCGAGGGGGAGTTCGCAAACCAAGGTAAATTTTTGCAGCCGGAGATGGTCGCAACCCGAAAAGTTCGTAAGCAGAGGCGTTCGTAACCCGAGCTACCACCGTATTTAAAAAAGACATTGCCTGTCTACCTCTGAAGCCTTGTGGAGAACTGGCTGTTGCAGTTAGTGAATCTAGCATATGGCACCATCGTCATTGGTCATATCTGTGGGCAGAAAAGAGCATTCAGGCTGCTGTTTTTCAGAATTATGGAAAGTAAACTGCCTCTGCCAGTTCCATTTAAAACTAAGCCTCAAACCTGCTGTTTTGTTGACTGGCCACACAAAAGGACCCATGAAGTGCCCCAAACTAAAATTCTTACCTTTATCTCCGTTAAAAGCCAAAACAATCGGATTTTTTACAAGCTGAAATTTCTGAACAAACTCCAAGCAGTAATCCTGCAACCCCACACCATACCACAGTAGTCTGAATCTTTGACACGCAAAAGCAAAGTACCCAGTTCAGTATTGTGCTTCAAGACAGTTGTGCTTCTGTCAAAATTAACAGCAGCATTTGGGAGCATATCATTATCTTGACATGCTGAAAAGGTCTGAAAATCGTTTCTGTGGTATCATTTGTTATTTATGAATTTTTATCCACCTGTCTACTGACACTTGAGCAATTAAAATGCCAATTATAACACATAAAAATAAGACCACCATTAAAATGAAGTCCAATTTAAAATCAAGAATCTTTTCAACTAAAAGCTTGGTGAAAGAGCTGGATTTTCCCTATTTTTGAAAATATTGGGGAGAATGGGGAGCCAAACACCCCTCCTTGGGGAGTGTATTTCACAGTTGGGGAGGCATATGAGGAAATGCCCTCACTGGAGCCCAAGTTCCTGGCAGTAGATGAGATCTTCAGGAGGGCTTCTCTTGCTGATCTAAGTAACCATGCAGGGTCATTTGGGGGGGGGGGACCCGTAAGTTCTTGCAGATAGGTATTTTTCATTAATATAGATTTTAAATGAATAGTCATGTGCCCCGTCAGTTTGTCCCTACGTCTAGCTAAAAGAAAGCAGTATTTATAAATGACAAAAATAGGAATAAAAACAGGGCACTCTCTCCTCAGATTCAGTCCTTGGCTACTTTCTAAACCTGGCCCAGGCCATGGAAAGTCACTGCTGATGACTGTCAACAATATTGGGCTAGATAATGGTTTTCATATGAAGACAGCTTCCTAGGATCTTTACTTTTAATGAGATAAAAAGTTTAAGAAGTTATACATCTCTCTTTCCTTCTGCCCCAGACATCTGTAAGTTATGTTTTCTTGTTCATCACATGGAGAACCTCACTTATTGGGCAATCCAAAAACATTAATAAATCTCTCCTTCCCCCACCCACCATCCAAGGAAACAGCCACTGTTGCCCTGGAGTCTTGAACAGCCAAGGAAGTAGCCACAGCACCTTCCAATGGACTAGCTCCGAGAGAGACTGGAGGGAAAGAGAAGACAGAACAGCAGCAGAGTCTCCATTCCTCCTGGATACCCTTGTTCAGACACCTACCCAGGGAAAGAGTGTCCAGCTTCTCTGCATTTCTGGCCATCTCCAAAATCTGGTTCGATCTCGGAAAATCCTGGGCAGGCAATAAGAAGGCCCCTCCCCATTCTTATCCAATTATGTCTATATGACACCAGCCAGGCCAGCTTGTTTGCCCAGGATTCATTCTTGGGTGTTTGCCCAGGGTTCATTTTTGGGTGGTTGCTTCTGAATGCATGTAACAGCAATTCCACAACACAACCATCATCCCATGGGAACTGCTGCAAAGCTGCACAGGCTCTCTGTGATGGGCCACCAACTGAGAATGAACATTCCCAGGCTATACTTCCCTCCTAACACCCTACTTTTCTTCCCCCACCATACTGCTGATTGCCCTCTATTACTACAGTGGTACCTCCCTATATCCCTTGGCTCCTTCTTAAAACAGCAGGCAGCAGATCCATCCCACTCCTCTTTCCTTCTCCAGTCAGAAGGCTGGCCCTCACCCTCATTCATCCCTGAAGTGACTCTGTCACAGAACCTCTTGCCAAGGCAACATCAGAACAGGTTGCTGGGAAGTTCCTGATGTAAAGTGTCAAGTCTGCTCCGAGATTCTCCAGGAAGCAGAAACCAGAGGAAGGACACAATATTGGCAGGTGATTGAGGGGACCTGGCTCTCCAGGCTGTACCTTTTGGTCTCTTTCCTGCCTGGGTACAAGGCACAACCTGTGATTATGTTAGGTGCGACTTCCATTGCCACTGCCCATCTTTCTGGAGGAAGGAAACATCTAGACCAGGCTCCTCATCTGTACCAGCTTGCAAAGAGAGGGAATTCTCAGTCTGTGCAACATACTCACCTGTAACATGGGCATCATGATGATGATGAAGAAGAAAAAGAAAAGAATACCAGCCCTAATAGCAACATCTGATAGCCACAGAAACTTTGAGGCGTGTGGGCAGAGAACAGCAGTCCTATTTCCTTTCAAGGAGACAAAATATAAGCATCAGTCTTATGATTTAAGAATGAGTTTTACTAATATAAGAGAAATTAAAATTTACTTTTAGCTTGCAAATCAATCTTGAGGCAGCTGAGTGAATGGGGTTTGTCCATTCACTACAACTTACAAGAGTTGTAAAGCCCATCACCTCTTAAAAGTCCCATTCATCTAGTTACCATGGGTCAGCAACATAGGCGTTTTTAAAAAGTATACAAGACCAGAAAAGTTGATGTAACTTTGTATTTTTAGTTCCTTGAAAACATGTACAGTTCCAGCATGAGAAAAGTTTCCTAACTTAAGTGGCAGCAAGTAGTGCAGCGTCTTCAAAACTGCATAGCCATTTTCAGTAAATGATGGTGTCATTCCTGTCATGTTCAACCAGTAACCCTTCAGATGTTCTTAGATTTTCTGTGTGGAGTGTGGAGAGAGGGAGGGAGGGAGGGAGAGAGAGAGAGAAAACACCATATGTGGCTCCTAAGAAACCACATTCAGGGTTACCAATTATTTCACCCTAAATAAGTTGCGAATTAATACTTTTTTGGTACTGTTTTACCCAAGTTATTGAACTTCTTAAAACTATGTGAAATCTGCTGTCAATTCAAAGATAGCCAATAGAGAGACTCATGTAAAATATCTGTTTATGGTGGCTGCAAACATGAAAAATGTATTTTAAAAAGAACCACCACCATCCCACACATGATTTTAATGTTTTATCAATTCCACAAAAGTCTTCAGAACCATATACAATAGCCAGCTGACTGCATCTTATGCAACCCTGCTGAAATAGTTAAATCTGAATTAAAGATGAATATTCAACTTAAAATTAAATGGATTAAGTTAACATAGAATAACAACATTTTTTAAGACCAATTCAACTTGGATGAAATAACCACATCCATGAATTCCGTTTTGCATATTTATTTCATAAAAATTACAAATAAAGTTTATCACTGCAGAATATGAGTGAGTTCAAGCTAACTGCAGTAGGAACACACATAACATTAATAAACTCTGTTTAAAATACTTGGCTTTTAATATTAAAACACACCTGGTAAAATAAATGGAAGAATATCTTACACCATTTGGAAGAACAGAGTAATTTACTCTTACCAGAAAGTGCTATAATTGCACAACATTTTAAAAATAAAAATCACCACTAAATTTTAAAGAAAAATTATTTAAAACTATGTTTATTTAAAACATAGGATAGTATTAATATAACAGCATAATAAAATAAAGTACAAAATATTTATTTCCATAATTTAAACATACCACAAGCCCTTTTTCCTTTACATTTTAATTTTGATTTTGGTTGAATACTGCCGATTATTAAAACTTTAAAAAAAATCAGGAAAACTATTTTGCAATATAAAAAGTAATCTCTCTGGTCTATAGTATAGTACAAAAAAACATAGTTAATTATGTTTAATAAAAAAAGGTGGCACATCTTAAACAGATGCAGTAAACTTTTGCTCTCCTGCCTCAAACTGTTCTTCACCCTTCAGCAAAATAAGAGAAAAAAGAATTCCACGAAGTCCTGATTTACTGATCCACAGGCTGGAAGGAAGCTTGGAGGAAGGGCTCAAAAAATCTGAAGCAAAACAAGGCATTTTACTTCGAGTCAGGTAAACTTATATGTAAATTTGGTTAAGGGAAAAATTCACCTTCAAATATATATATGACCATAACCAACTTCTTTAAATTGGCCTCAGCAGCATGGGACAAGCGAGGCAAATGACTTATTTATGGCAACATCAAGTTATGATGGAACTACATAATTTCAGCATTTGTGTGATGACATCACTCTGCCATGTCATCATTTTGATGTCATCATGGTTTGCTACATATGACACTATGTTATATAATAACCTAGCAAAAGAAGGGGATCAAAATCTATTCCTTGCCTTAAAAACCTCAACAGTTTAAAGCCAATGACTAGTACAGTATTTATAAAAAGTGAAAATTGCTGTTTGCATTTCAGCAAGCCCTCAACAGAACAAAGAGAGGGAACCAAACGTCCATCAATAGAAGATAATGTATTATAATTTCCAGTCTGCATATATCTATTTTAGACACATTATCCATATGGACAACCACTGAGAACAAAGCCTATTTCAGTGAGCCTGGCATTCTTACAGAAATCAGTATAATATTTAGGGAGGGAGGCAGGATATGAAAGGATATGAGTCATAATCCAGCGTTTGAGTAAGAACACCAGTCAAAACAAATTCTGCATTGTGGACATCTGCAAAAATATTGAAAGAACATACAAATATGTAAGATATTAATATAAAAATTTAATCAGCAGCCTTTGTTAAGGATACTTAGCAGCTGGGCCCCAATAAAATATGGCTGAAATGCAGGTGGTGTGTTCAACCAGATAAATCAGTGCCAACTCATGCACTGGGCATGTGCCAAATATAATATGGGTTGTACTGCAACCCAAGCAGCGTCTCAGCTACAGTGCATTTGGAAAGTATTCAGACCCCCTTCACTTTTTTCAATTTTGTTATGTTGCAGCCTGTTACAATCGTTCAAATTCATTTTTTTCCTCATTAATCTACACTCAGTACCCCATAGTGACAAAGTGAAAACAGAATTTTAGAAATGTCTAATCTACACTCAGTACCCCATAGTGACAAAGTGAAAACAGAATTTTAGAAATGTCTGTAAATTTACTGAAAAGGAAAATGCACTGTAAGTGATAAATACACCACACATTGCTACCCAAGAATTCTCCCCTCCACCATTGCTCGGGCTATAAAGGAGAAGTGGGGAGAATTGTGCCTTCAGATTTGCAAGATTGATGTTGGTCTTGCCAACG